TCAGAGCCGAATTTATTTAATATATGATAGAAAGTTGGCAATTAAAGTCGAAACAACTTGATATTTCGATGATTAGATTTCGTATTTACTTATTTTATTGTATAGAATTTCTAAAACAAATTTTAAAGAAAATTAAATTAAAAGTAATTTATGAAATTCTAATTTTTCCTATATTTAAATGACTAACCGTGATGTGAGCTTCAAAATGTGAGAAAATTATGACTTATTTTTCATATTGTTAACCATTAATAATTCAATAAAAAATAGGTACTTTTTTTTTTGGAAATTTCATTCATTTTCCTACTTTTACTTTAAAGATTATAATTGTTTTTATGTATGAAACTGTAAACAATATATTAAAATTTTTTTTAGGGAAAGTGGACCAGAACGACGAATTTAGTTTTATAATTAGTCTGCAGTCTAAAGCTGGTATGATTGAGTTCAGTCAAAATTTGGCCCCAACCATGGATATATACATGACTTTGTCATCGACAACTACCTTTTATTGTTTTATATGGATTTTGGAGCAGCAAGTGTATATAATAGCCTGCAGAAATAATTGGTACGTTTTAAAACATTAATATTTTCGCAACACAATATAATTTAAGAACGATTTTATTTTAAATGTGAAATTATTGTGCATTAAGTTATTCCAAAACCATTATATAAATTTTTCTGCCAATTCCGAATTAAATATTTCATTAACATTCATCCTAACATTTAAATCATTTAATTAAATAAACGATTCATGTTTCTTTTGTTTAAAGACAGTTGCAAAACAAAACACTCAAATTTCACTTCAGTTTTTAGGCTCTATCTCAAATATAGCTTCAGTTATGATTTAATTTTTGAATTTTAAATCAATTATTGCACCATTTATGCAATAATATATTTTTTTTGATAAGAATCAATTTTCAATATGAAAAAAATAATAAAAATATTGAATTAGGCAATATGAAGTCAATCATTTTATAGCCGTAAGTTTTTCTTGTATGAATAAAGTGTTTTTTTTTTCATTAGTAGTTTTATTCGGAATTGAATTTTCAACATAAAAATGTTGTATACATAAACCAAGGTTTACAGGTAATGAATATTGCAACTAAATTAATAAATACACAATACACGTATAAACTTAAAAACCAAAATCAAAAAAACACCTTTGTATTTTTGTATGTTAAATGTTTAGAGTCTTCAGAAATTCATTGCAATATTACTAAGTATATTGGAACTTTTCTCAACTTGTTTATAATTTTTTTTTCTGTTTTAGAAATTACTATAAATTTTTTATTTATTTTTAAGATAAGTTATTAGTAATTATGCGATAGGTTGTCAGCATGAGATTTTGTAGCGCATCTTCTTAATTATGTATGTTTTGTTTTTTCTTTTTGATTAATTTTGCATATTTAATAAAATTGATGTTTTTTAGTGTTAAAACACTATATTTATGTAAAAATTATTTAGAATATTAATTATATATTTGTAGAAGATTTTAATTAAATTAATAAATTGATTTATTGTATATTTTGGCTTGTAAAACAATAAAATATTTATAATGTTAACAATACTATCAATAGAATTAAAATTTTATTATAAAGCGCATCAATAATTATAAGCATAATGTGGATTTTAAATTATAATATTTTGTAAATATTTTGATGTAAAAAATTAATTGTAATATAAGGTTTTAAATTCAATTATTTTTATATCTTTTAAATATTTTTTTGAATTAATGTTGATACGGAAAACAATAATTAAATACATGATTTAAAATTTTTTTCCAAAAATTAAAATTATTTTCTAATTTTATATACTAGATATTACGTTAAGATTATAAATATTAAAACACATAAGTACAATACAAAAAAAATTAGAAAGCCAATGTAGTTTGTTATACACTTAGATGTTTAACGTATTACTAATTAATTTTCCATATATTTTAAATAAATTTTAGTCAAAAGTAAATATAGAGCTAGTAATATATACAAGTAGTTGATATTTTCAAATTATAATCAGTTATTCAAAAAATAACCAAATGATCGTAATGCTAGGTCGTATTAAATTTTGAAATATCCTTATGGTATTGTAACATAAATATTTTATGATTTCACTATATAGTGAGAAATGAAAAAATATAGAATTTTATAATAAATCAACATAGTATGTATTTATATGCTAAATATCATATAATATATAAAGTTCAAATAGCATCGCATATTTTGTAAGAATAAAATAACTTTTTTTCAATGACTTTTAAATCATAAAAATTCAAATCGATTAACATCATAACAATTTTAATTTTTTACGTTGACATCACAATTTTGTAATTCTTTAAAAAAATACAGAAAAACATAAAAACAGAAAAAAGATATATGTTTTCCGACAAAATAATTATTTGAAAAATTTTGTTATTTAAATCATGATTATGTTGCACATAGAATCTTTAAAAAGAAAAATAAACATGCAATATTTAAATATTTTAAAATAAGTGAATGTACAAAAATAGTAAAAATTTTAAATCATTATTTAATAAATCATAAACACCTAAAACATTGTTAAACAACAACATAATTTTAGTATTGTAACATTATCGTCAATCATTATAGCATGAACAATTCTTTTTTTTATTAAACGTTTTGTGCTGTATTATTTAATTAAGTTGCACTACTGTACAGTACCATTTTTGAAGTTATTGAATAAATTCACAAAAATATTTACAAATTTTTCTAAATAATTTATATTGCCAAATTTCCTATTATGTATCTATACTTAATATAGTAATATATTATAATAAAAATTGTTGAATTAGTTAATTTAACAATAAATTGGGAATGGTAATGCTAAATAAAAAAAAAGGAAAAATTACATAACAATTATTGATTTTTACTTAAAAAGATAAGACGCTTGATTGAATAATAAGAATTTAAAACAGAATATAGTGGTATTTACTTAGAATTTGAACTATAGATATTAATAAATAATAACCCTATTAATGAATAATGTTGAGATTGTAAAAAGCATTGAATTACTATTATTTTAATTTTAAACAAAAAAGAATAAAAATAAATTTATGTGTATTATTTTTTATAATTTTACACGGTAATTTGCCCAAATTAAAATTATTAAATATTAGATTTTTTTTTAACAATAATAGGAAAAATAATGTGAAATAAAGCTAAGAAGCTTTTATATACTCTTAAATTATATTGTAGAACTATAAATCAAGAATCTATCAAAAATTTTTTTCATTATTTCAAATAACTTTCATATTAATGTTTTATGTATAGGTATAATGACCCTCCTTTTATCCTTGGTGTCATCATCCCATAAATTATTATGATATAACTGTATGACACCACACACTTATATAATAATATAAAATTTAATTTTCAATCTATTCTAAAACCTAATCTCAAAGATTAGAAGATTTTTTTTTTGATAAAATATTCATTTTTTTTTTTGGTTATATTAAATTTATGCAGATAAATAAAACTAGCTAGTAAACAAAAAAATAAAGTAGCACAAATATCACTTTAACACTTTTATTTTTTTTATTTTTTTAAGATCATTAAATCAAATATCTAGAAATAGAATTTTAATGTTCTCTTCCATATGTTCATACTTTTTTTAAATGTATATTCATATACAATAAGCGTATGTAGAAATACACATTATAAAAATTAAAATTTAAATGATTTAATTAATAAATTCTCTTTAGTTTCTTTAATATATTTTAAATATTTTATTATATAAAAATTGCATATGTCAAAAAATATTAAAGAAAAAATATATCTTTTTAATATTTTTCATTTTACAATATAACATGGGTAAATAAATTATATATAAAGACATATTATATTGTACATTAATTATATATTCTATAAATCAAGAAAAACTTGCTTTAAAAGGATTTTTTGAATTAATTTAACTTTTTCTATTGTTTTTTTTCGAGTTTCAAGGACAAATTAAATATGTACAAAAATATACAAATACTAATAAAATTTGCAATGTATAGATATGTTTACCATTTATGAAATAGATTATTAAATGTATTCTAATAGCTTAAATAAATTTATATTTATTGAATATTATTAAAACACCTGTAACTTAATATGTTATGTATAAGGAAAAATCAAAATACATAAACATAAATTATAATATTAATTTATTATTATAATTACCATTATTAGAGTTCGTAAAATATTTAAATTTAAATTCTAGATGTCCTTGTAGGGTTTTATAAGGTTAAAAAACTTATCAAATTGAAAAATAATGATTGTAATATAATTTTTGATTAATGTAATTTAATTTTTTTTTAAATGTATAGACCATTTTAAACATTAATTGTAGTCTTTATGATATCATGTTCTAACTTACGATATATGTTTCATTAAAACTGTAATACTATTTTATGCTATTATGCAAATTATTTTGAAAAAATATATGTACGAACTTTTCTAAATTCGTTGAATCAGTAGGAAGAGGAGGTGATCAAGAATATTAAATAAATTAAAAATTTTTTTATATTAACACAAAATCAAATTTTCCATACGTAATTTTATATCAAACAAACTAGCAGATTAAATTGACTTGAAAAAAGCCAAGTGTAGTAAAATGCAATTGCTTAAAATTTTAAATAATTATTTAGCTAGTAAAAATAATATAGTCAACTATACTTAAACTTAAATTGCTTTTCAACTATATTGTAGATAAATGAAATTCCGTATTAATCCTCTTAATGTATAAAATTTTTATAGTATCAATTCGCATTAAGATTTTAATAATTAAAAATTATTGTAATTAATTATTATTTAAACTGCTTGTCAATTAACTTGTATGTAAATTAAATATCGAATTACTTGGCATAAATTGCCCGCATTGTACAAATTATTAGACCTCATAGTCTAATTAGAACATTTAAGGACACACATTATAATTAATTATTATTACACTTTTTATTTTTATTTTTTTTTTCAGTTTGAATTGTAAATGATTTTACTTACCAAAATTATAGAAAATTTCATTTTAATAATCCTTATATTATTTTGTAGTTCCTTGGAATTTATTTAATCAAAATGTTTATTTGTTAAATCTTTTAATATAATGAAATTGTCTTAAAATAATAATGTAATATTATTTGTAATTAATTATTTTAAAATAATTTATTTATTCATTTAATATATTTGAAATCGCAAATTGTATAAAAAAATTTCACTATTCGAATCCCGTAAATTTCCGAATAATAATTTTCCTTTTTTTTCGAAATCAAATTTAATATATGAATAGTAAGTTCCCTAATACAGAGGATATGATTTTTAGAGTAAAATAAAACAATAAATCTTTTGTTTTCGTAAAAAACTTTTAATTGATAAAAAAAAAAAAACAAAAAAACAAAATTAAACAAAAATAATTTTTTTTGTACTTGTTTTTTTCTTTTTTTTTTTTTAAATCCGCGATTTATTACTGTTTTCTTATACGTATATTTATTTCTATCGCTTATTTTTACACCTGGCGCTGCGCGTGTTAACAAGAATACAAACGAAACAAGAATGAAATCTTTAATTATTTGAATATTGTCTATATAAATAAATAAAACAAGGAACTTATGATATTTTTTTTCTTTCTATTTTCTTCTTTTTCTTAATTTTTCCTCCAACTCTTTGATATTTTTCTACTCTCTGATACTCCAATAGACACTATCAATTTAATAAATATACGAATGTATACCTAGTTGATAATAATAGATTTTATAGGTACTATACATTCAAACAAGAATTAATGATACTAGCAACAAAAATTTGTTTGTTTGAAACTATCAGCAGCGGGTGAGCTATAGAGCTATTATAACCAAATAAAATATTGTATACCTATAAAATATATTTATTAAATCAAAAATAAATAAAAAAAAATAGAAAAAACGATGAAAATAAAAACAAATTAGTAAACGCTCTCCGCCACAATTACAATAATACAACAAAAAAAAAATACAAAAACCTATAAAAGTACGCGAATTCAATAAAAAAAAGAAAACAAAATAAGAAGAAAAAAATCTTAAAGCTCATCTTTGAGTTTCGTTATCGTAAAACACGTTAAATAGATTCAAAGACATTATATTATCTATATATAAATATTTTTCGCGGTTGTTTTCGCAAAACACGCTTAAAATTTACACACATTCACATATACTCCTGTAAACAAACTGTATAAGAATAACAGTATAAAGTCAATTATTAAAAAAATTTATTCTCCACATAAATCTTTGAAAAGAAATAATAAAACTTTTCTTTTTGGCTTAAAAAAAATTGCTTATTAGTTTTAATCTGTCCATTTGTGCGTCTCTCTGCGAATTTGTTCAGAAAAATGCTACACCCTTTAAGATAGACTGTAACGAAGCCGCAAATATTTTTTAAGTTCTGCAAATACAGAAAAGTTTGGTCTGGTTTTTTCTACCGCGGCATCGCACAGTTTACCATGGTCGCGAAAATTAATCGTTAAATTAGACACGTTTTTTCTTCAACTTGATATTCGGTTTTCTTCTAGACGGTAACATGCGGGAATCTGAAATTTTAACCAGGTTTAGACACTAATTAATAATTTATTTTGTTGGAACAATATTTTTTGACCTCCACTTCCTATTAAATTAACGCTTCTCGAAATGAATAAAATTTTAATTTTTCTGCATGTTACATCTCCGAAACTGGAAATTTTTCTAAATTTCTATAAATGCAGAAAGTTGACGGTAAATGCAATGCCATCAAAAAACATTTATTTTATTTTATTAATTTAAGCGTCCAATTCAACCATTCTGTTCAACCTTTCAAATTTATACTAAATGTATGCAATGAATCGATATATTTCGGTTATATAGAAAGATATGTTCTCGGTTATAAAGAAAGATACATATGTTAAATAACGCCGGTAGACTTTCAAACGGTATTCAAGAGAAAAGTGCTTCTTTTCAAACTATTGGTTGATCCAACTTTATTTTTTTTTTGCCCAAACATCTATTTTTATAATTTGTTTTCCTTTTTTATTTTTCTCATATCTGATCAGTTTTGACTGTTGTTTTTGCCTCTGTATAACCGCCACTATTCATAACTTTTAACATTTTGTCTGGTCATTCATTCATTTTCTTTTGCTTATGCGTTCTTATTAGTATGGGTTGAATTTAAAATGAAGAAGAGCTTCAGATCATATGCGGATTAAGTTTTCAAGTGACATACTTATATTTTATATTTGTGTCTCATTAACATTTAAGTATTTGGTTTTTTTTTTTTGTTTTTAAATTTAATTTTTTTTTTTTTTTTAAATGTTTATAAACATAATAAAAGTATAGATACATTTTATATTTTTATTATCATTTTTTTTCTGTTGCTTATACATAATAATATATTAGTTCTAGAGATAAATGCTATATTTTGAAATTAAGTTAGATTTTCATATTAAACATTATATGACAGTAATTTTAGATTATGGACTTAGTATTGTTTCAATATAAATTAGCTTTACTCAATATAAATTAGCTTAAGAACTACGTTTTGGTATATTATAATTAATAATATTTTCATTGCAGGTTTATCTGAATTTTTTTAAATGAACGAAATCAGGACTTTTAGAGTGAAAAGGAGAAATTCAGAAAAGAGAAGGAGGGAAGGAGAGACTTGAAAATGATAGATTCTGTTGCAATTTCCAGGAAGAGTGCCAAAATCTAATTAAAAAAAGAGGAAATCTTATTTGAAAAATGACATTATCAATGAAAAAAATGGGAATTCCGATTTAAAAGTGAAGATAAGAGCGTAAATTTTTAAAGCTACTGCATACTTATCCTACAACTTTTATGTAAGTACAACTGCTTTGATTTGAATTAATTACTGATGATATTAACATTAGTTTTTTTTCGTTTTTGTAATGTAGTTAAGGTTCCTTTTCCTAAAATGTCATAATAATCAATATAAAAAATCCAAATATAAAAATATTTAATATCAAAAATATCTCTTTTTAATTAAATAGGTAATATATATATGTATGTATCTAATTATAAGCTTTGATAATAAAACTTATTTACATAAAAGTATTTTTGTTTTTCAGTATATTCTTCATAAAGAAAAAAACATTTAAAAATTTTTTTTTTTCATTTGTTTCAGTTCAAGAATTTCGTATAAGTATTCTTTTCAACATTGTAATCGCGTAATCAATAAAAACATAAAAATTTTAATAAACTTTTATGATTTCTAATCGGACCAGTTTTGTCGCATACATAAAATTTATAATAATAATAGTAATTTTGATGAAAATTTAAGTGGTTATTACATATTAGCAAAAAAAAAACAAAAACCACCTGAATATCATGATTTTACACAAAAAGTAAATGTTATTGATATTGAACATAGACAAACTAATTTGAAAAGAATTCTAACAAAATATTTTAGTGATGAAAATGTGATTTATTGATTTTAACAAAAAAAAAAAATTTTGTTTCCTCTTTAATAATGAATTTGTAGTTGCTATATATAATTAATGTAAGACTTTTTGAAGAGTTAGTTATACGGGAATAGGTTTTATAATGTTTTTTGTCGTATAGCGGCAAAACATGTATTCAGAAAGGAAAGAAAATTTAAATATTTATGCCTTTTATGGATTTACAAATTAAATAACATCATGTTTGCACATAAATAATACTACTTTTTTTGTTTTTAGCAAAGATTATCAAATCAAACAATGGCTTAGATGTAGCATTTATCAGCTTCGAGTTACAAATCATAACAGTTGAAATGAATTAATCATTATTTAGTTGCAATCACCAGTTTCTAAGTAAAAACGTCATCCCTAAATGGAATGGATTAATAAATAATCAATAAAATAAGATTTGAAAAATAAATGGAGCATACCCGTGTCAGCATTATTACGGCGACCTCAAGTCAATCAATACATCTTTAATATTATAAATACCAATGGACCGGTTAGTCGTCAAAACCATCTTATAATGAAATTGTATAAAGTAAGGCGTTCGCCTTACTAATCACCATGTCCAGCGAAGCCTCTGAGTACTATTTACAATTTAAAAAAGATGATTAAAATAGGTTTTAAAATAATAGTTGCTAAATAATGGCTGAAAAATGAAATTTAAGGTAATTAGAAAGCTTTATAAAAGTAATATTTTTTCTTAAAACTCTTTTTTAGTTGAATTGCTCTCAAAATGAGAAAGTAAAAGTAATAAAAAATCATGAATTTTAAAGTTTCTTTGGAATTTTCTATTTTTATTTTATTCTAACTTCTTACAAATATTTTTAAATAAAAAATTTCTATTATCCTGGTAACATAATCTAATTTATTTATAATTTTGTTTAATATCAAGTCTTTAAGATAAAAATTTAAACTAGTTTTGATATGAGATCCTTAACACAAGAAAAATCTAAATTAAATTTAACTTGTTCTAAATTTTTATATTTTTTTAATAACGAAAGTTCATTTAGAAATAATAGTTCTAATTGAACTTAAGATGTTTAAGATTAATTAAATTAATTGCTTTTGTAATAAATTTTTTGTACATTTCAAATTAATTTTTAATAGGTGTGAATGACAAATTTATGTCAACAGTTTTACCAAATTTATGTCATTTAATCGTAGTTTATTAATTTTTTAATAAGAATTTTTTATACACACATGTTTTTATATTATGACATTATAGACAAAAAACTAGTTTAGCCTTAATTACTATACACTCAAAAAATTCTACAAGTCATATACTTAGAAGTCGTTAAGTATCAAAATTCCACTTTGGTTACATTAAGATCAATATTTTTAACTAATGCTAGGTACTTAGATCTGTACAAAAGTTATTTAAAAAAAAAAAATAATTTATTTCCTGATTTTGTATTTATTAGAATTTTAGAACACTAAAAATTATATCAAACTGTGCCAAAATTAATTAAAATTCTTATGTATATTTGAAAATGTTTTCTATAATCATATTTTTTGTGTAAAATTTACCAAATGATTTGTTCATTTGTTTTCATAGACATTAGACTACTATTTGATTGATTTGGTGTGGTTATTATAGAATTATATAGAAAAAAAGTACTACTTATAAAAAATACGCAAAGATGATATTTTGGTCTTTT